CGAATACGTAAGCAATGATAACACCGTGGAATGTCGACTAGATGCAAAGATGATGAGTTCTATTAAAGATACTATCTTTAAAAAAAAAAAAAAAGATAAAAAAAAAAATAAAATCTATACACACACATACATGTATATATATATTATTATACGTATATTGGAAAATATGTACTAAAAAAAAAGAGAAAGAAAGAAAGAGAGAGAGAGAGAGAGAGAGAGAGAGAGAGAGAAAGAGGAAAAAAATAAGCTTTTATAAATAACAAGTTTCGAAATAGAAAATTAATCCTGATTGATTGAAACCTTTATTATCTTATTATATTTCCTTCTATCCTTTTCACGACTACTAATATCATACAAGCGTGATGTGATAATAATAATAATAATAATTATAATAATAATAATAATAATGCTATATTTAAATTAAATGTCATATAAGAACGATATGATTATTTTCAACTATATTTAATATAAGTGTGTCATTAGAAAGAGTGAGATAGAGATAGAGATAGAGATAAAGATAGAGATAGAGAGAATACTTTATTTAAATTCGATCAATTATAATTATTATTATTATTATTATTATGTATTATTATTATCATTTATGGTTTTCAATATTTAATTAAGTACGTATTTATAATAATCTAATTATATTATTTTAGTATATATATATATATATATATATAGTTTTACTTTAATTATTATATTACTTTAAAAAATAATATAATTGTAATTAAATAAATAATATTATTTAATATTATTTAGGTCAATAATTTAAATAAATTTATTTATTTAATATATATATATTAAATTTTATTTTTTTAATATTTATTATATAATTAATATAATTATTTATTGAATATTATTTAAATAAATATTTTCAAAAAAAAAAAAATTGTAACATTGTACAATCTATTAAATAATATAATAATATATTATTGATATCTGATGAAATTATTAATAAAGAATAATAAAAAGGTAAGGGTAGTAGTGATGGGTTTAAGAGAATATAGAAAGGAACAAAAATAAAACAAGAAAGACAACAAAGCATGAATAAAAAAAAAAAAGCTTCAAGTCTTACCTTGAGCTGATGCATTTGTTGTTCATGCATTTCTGCTAATTGCCTTTCCTGAGCTTGGTACTGCTGTCGCAGGATCTGTTGTTGCAGCTGATGATGCTGCTGTAGCTGGAACCAAACCCAGACATCTCAAGGGTAATGCACCAAATTTGAATATTTCAATGCAATACATAATTCGATTATACAAAAACAAAAAGAAATAAACAAACAAAGGTGGACCAAAACAAAACAAAATAAAACAAAACAAATTAAAATATACATTTGTTCTTTTTTAAATGTGCAATGATCAAAATAATAAAAATAATCATAATAATATAAGACGAGAGAGAGTCATAGTTAAGTCAAAAAGATGGATAGAAGGAAGGAAGGATGGATGGATAGATGGATGGATGCATGGGATGAGATGGCATTTGGCCCAGAAGGAAATGCGTGGGTCGTCGACAGACGACACAAACTGGCAACAAGAGAAAGAAAGAGATGACTATAGTTAAAACGTGTGTTATAAGTTGTTCTCTTCTTGCCAATTGGTTACGTCCGCGAATGAACGAGACACGTAGTAGTAAAATCGACGCAATGCGTATCTATCTATCTATCTCTCTCTCTCTTCTCTCATCTCCTCTCATCTCATCTCCCTCCCACTTTTCCTCTTACTCATCTCGTCACTTTGTTTCTAACATAAAATTACGTCGTTTGTTCCCAATTCTTAAATTATTTCTTATTCGTAATGTCAAATTTATTTTTATATTACAAGTGAATTCATCTAAAATAGAATAAAAGAATTAATAATTATCGTAATCATTTAATAAATTTATTTGATCAAACTCGAACGCGATTTAAACCCATCACTATTTTTTTTTAATATTAATTAAATAAATTATGTGTATACTAGAATTGATCTATTTAAGAAGAATTCATAATTATCATTATCATTTGTTATTTATTTGATCAAACTCGAACGCGATTGAAACCCATCACTAAAAAAAAAGAATTAAAAAATTCTTTCTCTCTCTCTCTTTTTTTTTTTAAATAACAACGAACAATAGAACAACGTTTTTCGATTTGATACAAAAAAAAAAGATTCGATATTAATCAGCTAATCTCGAATAATCTCGAAGAGATGATTGCTGTTTTAATTGTAAATATAATCTTATTAAACTTGACCAATCAATAAATCAATTAATCATCTAACAAAAAACAAGGCCCAATGAGTAAATCAAAAAAAGGATGAATTTAACTGAACAAACTAAAGCGAGAACACTCGCATTGATTATTCCTCATAATGAGATATCATCATCATCATCATCATCATCTTCATCTGGATGGAAAGGATGTGCCATTAAGGCGACCATTTTGGTTGTTGGTTTTGGTACTTATATTTTTCTTCATAAAAAAAGAAAACCATTATTTCTAAGTAGAAAATGGCTATTAAGTTTTTTAACGAGAAAGAATAAAAACGAAGATACTGTGGTACAACAGGAAGGAAAAGAAATTAGGTGGGTTTGTTTATAACATAACCTCCAAAAATAAAAAACAAAAATCTACACAATTTCTAACGAGTACAAATAGCAAGCTTATTTTTTTATTTTATTTTATATAAATGCTTTAAATTATTTATTTAATTTTGTTTCATTAACATATTGTTTCATTTATTTGATTTTATTAATCGAATTTAAAAGAAACAATGGATTCCTTGTATTTGATTTGTCAAATTTATTAAATTCTACATTTAATTAAATCGTAAAATATTAACCTAACTTTAATATTTGTTTAAATGAAGACAATTCAATAATAAAATTGATCGATTCATTAAAACGAGTACACCGAGCAAACAATGGATTCCTTGTATTTGATTTGTTCTAAATTTTACATTTAACTTTAATCGTAAAATATTAATCAAACTTTTATATTTGTTTAAATAAATGCAATTGTTTTTTTTTTTGACTGATTCATTAAAGTGAGTACAATGAGCAACAACAACAACTACAACAACAATCATCAACAATATTATCATACAATCGTGAAATTTGTCCAATATGTTTGGGAACACCTAAAATCAGTGTGAGAGCACCTTGCGGCCATTTGCTTTGCGCCGATTGTCTAGCAAGTTATTGCGACGTTAGGGTGGTAACATTGGCGCCACCACCCTGTCCCCTTTGTCGTGCACCCCTTGATTCCGTGGCCTTGGCCTGTGACTTTGTTAGTATATGTATATATACATATATTGAACGGAAATAACCGAGACTTGCTCTGGTTACCACAAAACTTTCACGAACATGCAAAGCTTCCTACATCTTCTTCTTCTTGTTCCTTTAAAAATGATTGCTTTCACTATCTGTCTGTCAGTCTGTGTGAGTCTGTCTCACTGTTTGTCAGCCTGTCTATGTCTGCCTGACTGTTTGTCAGTCTGTGTGAGTCTGTCTCTGTGTCTGCCTNCTGACTGTTTGTCAGTCTGTGTGAGTCTGTCTCTGTGTCTGCCTAACTGTTTGTCAGTCTGTGTGAGTCTGTCTGACTGTTTGTCAGTCTGTGTGAGTCTGTCTGTGTCTGCCTGACTGTTTGTCAGCCTGTGTGAGTCTGTCTGTGTCTGCCTGACTGTTCGTCAGTCTGTTTGAGTATGTCTGACTGTTTGTCTGTCTGTGTGTCAGTCTGCTGTGTCTGCTGTGTGTCACAATTTGTAAGTCAAAAAGTTAGGTTTAATTTGAAGAATGAGAGTACACAATATTAAACTATTCATTGACCTTGACCTTGTCCTCATCGTCATGTTTATATTCTATAAAAAGAAATGAACCTTTTTTCAGACTATCATCAGTTCTGACCTAACCGATCAAGTAAAGATAAATTCCGATATTAGATCATGGATACATGAATATAATCTTCATCGTGGTCTGATTGGTTCAGGAAGATCACGGAATACAATATTGGCTTGCAAACGTGCACTCATTGTAATAAATAGTTGCATTCTACTATTTTTAGTTATCTTGGTCATTGCTAGATTACAGGTAGTAAATGTTTAGATACTTCTTTTTGTATTTCTTTTTATCTTTTTATGTATTTTATTTAATGTTTTTTTTTTGTTTTTTTTTTTAAATCTTTTGAATGTTAGATACTTTCTTGGACAGATTGGACAACTTTTGGATCGACCTTTGACGTTGCATTGAGTATTGCATTGATAACGTGCATGTGGTTCAAATGTCAAGAATAAAATACATCATAAACTATATTTATGAGAAAAAGAGAGAAAGAGAGAGAAAGAGAGATTTTGATTATTTATTTTAATTTTTATTATTATTTATATTGCTATTCTTATAATAATTATAAAAACTCGATAAAGTAAAATGAATAAAAAAAGAAAATAATTAATTAACCAATTAAACGTTTGTAAAACACTTTAATTATTATTAAAAATTACCCCCAATAAATTGTTTAAGAACACAAGAGAGAATAAAAGTGTATTAAACATTATATACCAAATTAAAAACAAATTTAAATTTTCCTAGAGTTTCCCGCCCTTTTTTTTTACACCACAGTTAAGTTAGGTTTATCAACACATCCCATGCATGCATGCATGCATGTATGCATGCACGCACGCGCAAGGAAAAGCAAGCAAAGCAATGCTCGCTAAACCACCCTCCTCCCCACCCCTAACCACGGCCTTGAACTAATTCGTCGATGAAATATCGATCGACCAATTGCATCAGACGAGAGATTAACCATACTTGGAGAGGGTGTGTGTGTGAGTGAATTGAAACAATTCGGAATCAAACAAATGGGTGTTTACGGACAGACATGGGTGTTTGAGGTAAGGTTAGGTGAATGAAAAAAGATAATTAAAAAAACACTCTAGAAGGTCACTAGAAATTACTATGGGAAAATAAGAAGGCATACGTTACCTCGAGCATTTTCTGTTGCAACGCGTGATCATGGAGGGTAGTTGGGTCGGTGGTGGTAGCAACTGCAGCATGATAGGCGCCGGAAGTCAAGGTGGCCGTTGCAGCTCCTCCACCCCCGCCGCCACCACCTCCTCTTCCACCCCCACCGACACCACCACCACCACCGCCACCTCCTCCTCCACCTCCTCCTCCACCTCCACCACCACTACCCAAATCCCGGGAGCGTGACATGGGTGAGCCCGGGGTGTCCCTGGCCATCTCTACGTAGTACATGTAACAGCATACTTCTGGTAAAAATCGTGACGATGATTCTCGAACAGAAACTGCCTCGAGTGGGTAACGAGCCAATGGTCGGGCTGGTTGCTCCACGTGGAGCCTCATTTTTTTTATTTTTATATATATATGTGTGTGTATCACAAATTTAAATATATATTTGATTGACAAATGTTTTGTTTTTTCACTTATTCATCTCCCTTTTTAGCAAACGTTGTCGTTGACGATGAAATAAAACACCCCACTAGTGTTCTCCCCCCATTCAAATATTTTTTATTATTTATTTAATATTATTATTATTATTATTATTGTCGAGTACAATAAAAAAATATATTTATATGTATATATATATGTCACAAATAATACAGTTATTCACGATTCGTTGTAATTGACACTGAAGTTGTGGTTGGTTCCTTTTTTTATAGGGGTAGTTTAAAAATTGTACAAAATCACTTTCCAGAAAAATAATAATAATAAATATTGTAAGTTAATTAAAAAGCCACTCCTCCCCCTCAAGAGGAAAAAAAACAAAAACCAATAGCACAAAAGAACTATGTGTTTATTTTATTATTAATATTTATTTGTCTTTTTTCTTTAGTAATATATGACGATGAAATGACAAGACACACCACCGGTCAGCGCTAAATTTAGAGTCTCAACTACTACTTGGATAAAGAAATGATAAATCAAGATATTTTAACTACGTATTTAATGATTTACGTAAATGAATAAAAAATAAAAATAAAAAAATAATAATAATAAAAAACAAAGATGAAAGATAACGAATGTACCAACTAGTTCACTCTATTCGCAATTAAAATGATTTTCAAAAGAGAGAAAAAAAAAGAGAGACAGAGAGAGAGAGAGAGAGAGAGAGAGAAACGATTATGTTAGCAACGAATTAAATACTACTACTACTACTAATTCAACGAATCGTTCACGGAAGCGCGACGACAACTGCCGAACGCGAGAGACACCACTCTAACTAACCAATGAGAGGAAAGAAGGGTGAGAGGGAGGGGACAGCGGATTATTTGAAGAGCGTGCGGCGCACACAAAACTTGGTGGGGGTTGGTCAGATGGTTCCCTCTCTCTGCTGTCTCAACATGTCTCTTTTCCCCCTCTCCTATGTTTTTTTTCTTCAACCAATCGGAGCTTCTCGCACGCGTCTCGCGAGCTACTACGATGACGATGACGACGACGACGACGGACAAACAAGTTTTGCCAAGCAAATTTTCGCGAGAGGTACCCCTTCTTAACGTGATATTTTTAGCATTGCTATTGCTTTCTTCTTTCTACTTGCGACCAATCAAATCAAACAAATAACTAAACAATCAATCGATCGATCAATCGAAACAAACAATCAATACATGTCACCCCGAATCTGAATTATGGGTCGAAGTTTTTCAATTTTTTCTTTTCTTTTTTTTTTTTTAATCAAATGTGAATTTGTAAATGTGTATTTTTTTTTTTTTTTTTAATAATAATGTTTAATCTTTTATTTTTTAGTTTATTAAATTTATTATATTATTGTTTATTTAATTTAATTTTTATTTTTACTTATTCCTTGGGTCTCTTTTTTTTTAAAATTTATTTTTGTATTCATCGTCAACGACAACGTTAGAACTTTGACATTTTTTAAAATCATTTTATATTTTATTTTTTTTTAATAATGTTTACTCTTTTATTTTTTAATTTATTAAATTAAAAATTATTATTATTATTAATTTAATTTAATTTAATTGTTAATTATTCCTTGGGTCTCTTTCTTTTTTTTTAAATATATTTTTGTATTCATCGTCAACGACAACGTGTGAATGAATAAGGACAATAATTAATTATAAATAATTTATTATTCGATTTTTCTGTAAACATTCTATTCTCCTATTTTTGTTATATTTTTTTATTATAAATATTTTTTTTTTAAATAAATAAATGAATAAATATATGTGTATTAAAAGAGTTGTAAAGATTAACAATTTAACACTAAGATAATGAGATTACAATTATAAAATGTAGAAAACTGACAAAAAAAAGTAAATAATAATAATAAAAGTAATAATAAAAAAGGTAAAATGTTTTTTTTACCTATTATTACAAATTTTTGTTAAACGTTTGTAACACGTCAGGCTAATTAAATATGGGTAAAAGTAGGTCGTTAGTTCTGATAATAATTAACGACGTAATTAACATTGATTAATATATTAACAACAACTTTTTTTTTCTTTCTTTTTTTCTTATCATTTATAGATATTTGATTTTTCTTTTCTTTTCTTTCTTTTTTTTTTTTACTAAATGAACAAGAACTTTTACGGTTTATATCAAATAAATACAAAAATTCCATTAGAATTATTCTCGTGAAAATTGAAAAATAATTTTTATAAATACAAGCTTCGATATTTTCTATTTTTCTAATTTATTTGTAAATTTATTTGATGTCTTTCTTATATTGTTTTTTCTTCTTCATATTATTTAATAAAAAAAAAAAAAATTAAAAATACAGAAGCTTATAACACCCTTCTGAGGTTATTATTATCGTAATTTAAATACAAGTTTAGTTATTTTAGATTTTTATATTTTGTTTGTAAATAATTAGTCATTTTTTCGTCATTATTATTATACTTTTAGATTATTTTGTATTATTTAATTAAATAAAAAAAAAATAAAAAAATAAAAAATCACGTCAAAAAAACTTACCCTTTTGAGGTAGATGCGTGAAAGCCGACGTTATCTCGATACTCCTATAGCCCACGTCTTCTGAAACAAAGTTTCAAAAATCAATAATATAATTATTTATTAATTTATTATTAATTTCAAAAATTAATAATTATATTATATATTATTAATTATTATTAATAAAATCTTATCAAATTTCTAGCAAGTGTTTGTTCAGAGATTTATTGCTTAACTCATGCGACACAAACAAAACGCGACAAAACTTTCAAATATCAATAATATAATTATTTATTAATTTATTATTAATTTTAAAAATTAATAATTATATTATCTATTATTAATTATTATTAATAAAATCTTATCAAATTTCTAGCAAGTGTTTGTTCAGAGAATTATTGTTTAACTCGCGACACAAACAAAACGCGACAAAACTTTCAAATATCAATAATATAATTATTTAATAATTTATTATTAGCTTCAAAAATTAATAATTATGTTATCTATTATTATTTATTATTAATTATGATGATGATTATTATTACTATTATTAATAAAATCTTAACAAATTTCTAGCAAGTGTTTGTTCAGAGATTTATTGCATAACTCGCGACACAACACAAACTTACAAATATCAATAATACAATTATTTATTATATTTATAATTACTTTTAAAAATCAATAATTATATTATTAATTATTAAT